TATTGACATCTTAACAACATTAAGTCTTTTATTAATAACTTCTGAACCACAGTGTCTTCAAGATATTTTTGTTTAATTTCCACCTATTTGTAGACATAACAGGGTTTTTTTTTCAGTTTTAAACTTTATGTTTTATTCTATTATAGTCATAAATGATACTTTGTGTATTTCTATCCACTTAAATTTCTTACAGCTTGTTTTGTGGCATAACAAGTTGTCTATTTGGGTTAATGTGCCATGTGTGATTAAGAGTACTATGTATTCTTCTGTTGTTGGGTGGAGACTTCTGTGTATGACTGTTAGGGCTAATTGTTCAATAGTATTGTTTAAGTTCTCTATTTTTTTTTTTTTTTTTTAATTTTTTTTTTTGAGACAGAGTCTCACTCTCTTGCCTGGGGCGAGTGCCGTGGCGTCATCCTAGCTCACAGCAACCTCAAACTCCTGGGCTCAAGCAATCCTACTGTCTCAGCCTCCCAAGTAGCTGGGACTACAGGCATGCGCCACCATGCCCGGCTAATTTTTTCTGTATATATTTTTAGCTGTCCAATTAATGTCTTTCTATTTTTGGTAGAGATGGGGTCTCGCTCTTGCTCAGGCTGGTCTCGAACTCCTGAGCTCAGAACGATCCACCTGCCTCGGCCTCCCAGAGTGCTAGGATTACAGGCGTGAGCCACCACACCCGGCCAAAGTTCTCTATTTTCTTACTGATCTTCTTTCTGTTTTTTCTTTGCGTTATTTAATATGAGATATTGAAGTCTCCTATTATTGTGTTGCTGTCTAATTCTAGCTTCAATTCTGTAAATAGTTGCTTTATACATTTGGGATGCTGATGTTGGGTGCATATATGTTAATACTTGTGATAGCTTCCTAGTTGATGAATACTTTTGTCGTTATACAATGACTTCCTTGAAACTTGTGGCAATGTTTTTTATAATGAGGTCTCAAAATATCATTCAGCCTAGAGTGCAGTGGTATGATTACAGCTCACTGCAATCTGCATTTGCTGGGATCTAGCAATCCTCCTACCTCAGTTTCCTGAGTAGCTGGGACTACAGGCATGTGCCACCATAAATGGCTATTTTTTTATTTTTGTAGACATATGGTCTCACTATGTTGTTCAGGCTTGTCTCAAACTTTTGGTGTCAAGTAATCCTCCCACCTCAGTCTCCTAAAGCACTAGGATTGATTACAGGTGTGAGCCACTGTGCCTGGTCTCGTAACAATTTTGAATGTAACATGTATTTTGTTTGTGACAGTATTTGACATTTCAGTCAATGATTTTTTTCTATGCTTTTATTTTCAGCCCGTGTGTTTTTAGAATTAAAGTCATATTTTTTGTATAAAGCATAGAATTAATATGGTTTCTTGAATTTATTCAGCTAAGTTGTCTTTTGATAGATTTTATTTATATCTAAAGTAGTTACTGAAAGGGAATGACTTACTATTGCATGTTTATTTGTTTTTGTAGGTCTTGTAGCAATTTTGTTTCTGTTTTTCTCTCTTACTGTTTTCCTTTGTGTTTTATTGATTTTTATAGTGATATGGTTTAATTTATTTCTCATTTCTGTTGAGTATCTATATACCATAGGTATATTCATTGTGGTTATCATAGATATTACATACAACATCTTTTAAGTTATTATAACAATCTATTCTAAGCTGATAATTTCCATTGTATTCAAAAGCCATGCTGCTTTACATCCTCCATTGTACTTTATTGATGTCTCAAATATCTTTTTCCATTACGTATACAATAATACAAGTTTATAGTTATTTTCAAGTATTTGTATTTTAAAATCTGTATTAGAATTAAAAGCATTATATGCACCCTCATTATGATAATAAAAAATACTATATTTGTTTGTGTAATTACCTTTACCAGAGAACACTACATTTTCACATGATTTTTGTTGCTATCTACTGTCATTTTGTTTTTCAATGTGAAGAATTGATGATGCTCTTTAACATTTCTTGTGGGACAGGTCTACTGGATATGAATTTATTCAGTTTTTGTTAATCTTGGAAATTCTTTATTTCTAATTCATTTTAAAGATCATTTTTGCCAGAAATAGTGTTCTTGGTTGGGAGGTATCATTTTTCACCACTTTGAATATATCATTCTACACCTTTCTAGCTTGTAAGATTTTTTACTGCAACATTTGTTGATCATTTCATAGGAGTGCCCTTGCATTTGGCAAATCATTCTTTCTTGTTGATTTCAAGATTCTCTTTATGACTTTAAAATTTCTGAGTATAACATATTTTTCTGTGGTTCTCTTTGTTTAATCCTAATTACAGTTGGCTGAGCTTCTTTAAATTCTATGTGATTTTCTCCCACAAATTTATACATTTCTCAGCCCCTATTTTTTCAAGTAATCTTCCTTTTATTGTCTTCTCAGTCTAGAGCTCCCATTATCAGTATAATGGCCTACTTGATGTTATCCCATAAGTCCTTTAGGCTGTTTTTACCTTTCCTCATTTTATTTTCCTTTTTGCTCTCCTTACTCTATAATTTTAAATGACCCATTTTCACACTTTCTGCCTTTTTCTTCTGCTAGATCAGGTCTGCTATTGACCTCCTCTAATGAATCTTCATTCAATTATCTTACTTTTCTCTTACTTTTCAGCACCATACTTTATGTTTGTGTTTTCATCATTCTTACCTCTCTGTTAGTAATAGAATTTTTCTTTTCTTTTCTTTTTCTTTTTTTTTTTTTTTTTTGAGACAGAGTCTCACTCTGTTGCCCAGGCTAGAATGTCGAGGAATTAGTCTAGCTCACAGCAACCTCAAACTCCTAGGATCAAGTGATTCTCATGCCTCAGACTCCCAAATAGTTGAGATTACAGGCATGTGCTACCACTCCTGGCTTATTTTTCTGGTTTTGGTAGAGACAGGGGCTCACTCTTGCTCAGTCTGGTGTGGAACTCCTGACCTCAAGCAATCTTCTCACCTCAACCTCTCAGAGTGCTAAGAGTACAGGCATGAGCCACCCTTCCTGACTAGAATATTTGTTACACATCGTTTTCTTCCTTTTTTTCTTTTGTCTGTGTTCTCATTTAGCTGGTTAACCATCTTTAAAATAGATTTATTGAATTCTTCTAAAAATAATTTATAGTTCTTCATTGCATAGAGTCTCTTGAAAATTCATTTCTGACTTTTGATTGGGCCATGTTTCTTTGCTGTCTTGTGATTTTTGTTAAGATTTCTGTCATTTAAAAAACAGCTACCTATCCCGTCCTTCATGTAATGTCTTTGAACAAGGAATAACTGACACTATTTAACCATACTAGACATTCCAGGGGTTTCTTCAACCTGTTAGAAATACGTGTTATCTCTGTACTACTGTCTGTTTTTCTGTTAAAAATGTTCCCTATGTTTCTTCTTAAACTCATTTAATCTCTTGCTTCCCTTGGCAAATGTCATTAGTAGTGCAGTCTCTCTGTTACTGTAACAAACATTCATCTTTGTTCTCATGGACCCAACCTGTCATTTAAACTATATTTCCATTCCCTTCAGCACTGTGTATTAAAGCAAGCAATAACAAGTCTTTAGGTAGTCCCAGAAAAACTGTAGCCTATGGACACAAATTCCAGTCTTTTCTCTGTTTCCTGAGGGAGAAACAAGGAGTGGAAAGTTATTTTCTCTCATTCCTCTCTGCTGTGGTACACAAATGTAATGAATTTTCTCCTACTTAATTTGACCCTTCTTGGCTTTGCATTCACTGGGGGTATTGAATACTCAATTCATATTTTGTTAGCATATTTTTGTTAATATCATATACCCGTGGAGAAACAAGGGTCTCAGGTTTTTAATTCAACTATCATGGTGATGTTTACAGCTTTGTATAATTACACATATTTTTGTTGTAAAGTATATTAACCCAAATATAGTAATTAAAATTTTAAAAATTTTTCGTATCTTTCAGATTTATTTTCTTATTACATGCAAGGCCTGTGGACAAAACAGTGCATAGAAACTCCAATCCAAAAAGTGATATTGGGGGTATTTGGAAATTATGGCCTTGAAAATTTACACTTGAAGGAAGAATGGGAAAGTGAGGGTGAGTGTGAAGAGCAAAACAGTTGTTATTATGGACATAACAAATGTAAGACAACTACTTATAAGAAAAACACTACTGATACAAGAGGTCAAAAACTTAAGACACTTTGGAAAAAATCTTCCTTCATGTCAGTTACTTTTGCTAAACCACATGTTTTCATAAGTAAATATCATCGATTTTTGGAACATACCTTTTCTCTGAAAAGAAATTTGGAAAATCTAAATACCGACCTAGTCCATGTTCCAAATAATGATTTGTACCAATTAAAATATCAAATTGGATTCAATGTACAGTCAAATATCTCTGAAAATCTGAGATTTAAAAACAAAGGGAAGATTTGTAAATATAATCAAATTCATGGGTACTTTGTTAAAAGTTTATTATTCTTCCACCAAAGAATAATACCATCCTGTGCCAAAATCTACAATTTTATTCAATACAAGAAAGTCTTTACCCATTTATTATTGTTTAATCAATATCAGGGTATAGATCTTTGGAGAAGACATCACACCTATAATAGAACTTTGATGTCATTTAGCCAGGGCTCTATCCTAAAGGATTGCCAGGATATTTATATTGGAGACAGAAATTATCAATGCCAGAAATCTGAAAAAACCTTTAACCAAGGCTTTAGCCCTAGAAAACATCAGAATACTTATTTTTCAGGGGACCATTACAAATGTAAAAAAGGTAAGAAAGTCTTTCATCAACACTCAAGTCTTATATTCCATTGTAGTATCTGTACTCAAAAGAGGTCTTCCAAATCTAATAAATGTCTAGAGGCTTTTACCCAGTTATCAAATCATACTCACCAGCAAGGAATCTATTCTGGAATAAATTCATACAGATATAATAAATGTGAGAAAGTCCATACTCAATCATCAAATGTAAAAAAATATAAGATAATTCACACCGAAAAGAAACTCTACAAATTTAAAGAATACGGCAAAGTGTGCAACCATATTTTACACCTTATTCAATATCAGAGTATTCATACCGAAGAGAAACTGTACAAATACTATGAATGTGGCAAAGCCTTTAATAATAGCTCACACCTTGCTGAGCACCAGAGAATTCATACTGGAGAAAAATTTCACAAATGTAAATCATGCAGTAAATCTTTTACATATTCAAGTCTTATTAAGCATCAAAGAATTCATACTGCACAGAAACTCTACAAATGTAATGAATGTAGCAAAGCCTTTAAGCGTAGTTCACACCTTACTCAACATCAGAGAATTCATACTGGAGGCAAACCCTACAAATGCAAAGAATGTGGCAAAACCTTTAAACGTAGCTCACACCTAACTCAACATCAGAGAATTCATACTGGAAGCAAACCCTACAATTGTAAAGAATGTGGCAAAGCCTTTAATTATAGGTCAAGTCTTACTGAACATCAGAGAATCCACACTGGAGAGAAACCCTACAAATGTAAAGAATGTGGCAAAGCCTTTAAACGTAGCTCACACCTAACTCAACATCAAAAAGTTCATACGGGAAGCAAACCCTACAATTGTAAAGAATGTGGCAAAGCCTTTAATCATAGGTCAAATCTTACTGAACATCAGAGAATCCACACTGGAGAGAAACCCTACAAATGTAAAGAATGTCACAAAGCCTTTAAACGTAGGTCACATCTTACTGAACATCAGAGAGGCCATAGTGAAGAAAAATTTCACAAATGTAATGCATGCAGTAAATCTTTTACTTATTCTTCAAGTCTTATTAGGCATCTAAGAATTCATTCTGGAGGAAAACCCTATAAATGTGAACAATGTGGCAAAGCCTTTAATTACAGGTCAAGTCTTACTGAACATCAGAGAATCCACACTGGAGAGAAACCCTACAAATGTAAAGAATGTGGCAAAGCCATTAAACGTCGCTCACATCTAACTGAACATCAGAGAGGTCATAGTGGAGAAAAATTTCACAAATGTAATGCATGCAGTAAATCTTTTACTTATTCTTCAAGTTTTAGTAGGCATCAAAGAATTCATATCAGAGGGAAACCCTACAAATGTAATGAATGCGGCAAAGACTTTAACCATAGTTCACATCTTACTCAACATCAGAAAATCCATATTGGAGGGAAACCCTATAATTATAAAGAATGTTACAAAGGTGTTAAGTGAAGTTCACATCTTAGTGAGCACCAGAGAATTCATACTGGAGAAAAATTTCACAAATGTAAATCATGCAGTAAATCTTTTACTTTTTCTTCAAATCTTATTAAGCATCAAAGAATTCACACTGGACAGAAACACTACAGATGTAATGAATGTGGCAAAGCCTTTAAACCGTAGTTTACACCTCACTCAATACCAGAGAATCCATAGTGGAGACAAACCCTACAAATGCAAAGAATGTGGGAAAGCTTTTAACCGTAATTCACACCTAACTCAACATCAGAGGATTCATACTGGAGAAAACTTTCACAAATGTAAAGCGTGCAGTAAATCTTTTATTCTTCTGTAAAGTCTTATTCAGCATCAAAGAATTCACACTGGAGGAAAACCATATAAATGTAATGAATGTGGCAAAGCTTTTACTCATTCTTATGGTCTTATTGTCCACCAGAGAATTCATACTGGAGTAAGCTCCTATATTTGTAAAGAATGTGGCCTGTCCTTTAACCAGTCTTCAATCCTTAGACAATGTGACAGAATTCATTCTAGAGAGTAAAATCTACAAATGTAAAGAATGTGTCAAAGCCTTTTATCATAATTTAAATCTTACCTGACATCAGAGCATTTATAGTAGGTAAACTCTATACATGTAATGAGTAAGGAAAGCATTTTATTTAAAATATGCAATTTACAGGTTATAAGAAAGATCACAGAGAAGGAAGCTTTACAGATGCAATAAATGAGGGAACTATTTAAAACTCATCCAGTTCTATCAGAGATTCACAGAAGAAAGAACTAAAGCAAACACTTCTAAACTTTACACCAAACCAGAGTACTTATTACAGAGAATAATCCAAAGTCAGAGCAATTACAAAATTTATTCATGTGTTTCAAAAGAGTAAGAACTTTGTTATTTGAAGAGGTGTAATTATGGTCAACTCTTTATTGTATTGACAGTATTTGAGGTGTTTGAAACGGACGTATTTTGATGTAATTCAACTCTCAAATCAGTTGATGCTATGCCTTAAATCTCTAGTGTTTATATGAAAATATGTGGTATGTTGTTTCAGCATCAGAATTGTTAGAAACCATTCTATATTAGATGGACATAAATTTTCCTCTTAAGTAGAAAAAACTACCCAGTTAATTAAAATACTGAGATATCTTTATAGTAGAGTAAAGTAGGATCCTTGAGTTTATATGCGTTGGGATATGTATATGTATGTTTTTATGGGTGGGAATATGAATTTATAATTTACATAGTTGTATTGTCTTTATTGTAACCCATCAAGCCTTACATGAATATTTGTGTGTGCCTCTTTGTATTTGTGTTATATATCAATAAAAATTGAAATATTACATATGTGCCCAAAAACTGTTACTCAGTATCTCCAGATAATAGCAGTGTTTTGTCGTTTGTTCAAAAGTGAAACATGATCACTCATGGCATTATCAGAAAATTCTATCTATTAATGCCCTAACCTTTGCGTGACCTCTTGGGCCTTTCTATTTTTGCCTTAATTTGGTAAGTCGTGTGGTTTTAATTTTGTGTATGTGTGTGTATGCTTTAATTTTTCCCCAGCTAATTTCTTTTCTCACAGTAATGCTTTCCAAGGTCAGGGCATCTAGCACAGATAGCTGGGCATAGTATACATTCAATACATGTGAAACTGGGTCAAATTGGAACAAAATGAAAAGCGGATGTCAGTTTGGCAAGTGATTAAAAAGTGGGTATTAATACAGGTAATAGGGCCGGGCACGGTGGCTCATGCCTGTAATCCTAGCTCTCTGGGAGGCTGAGGCGGGCGGATTGTTTGAGCTCAGGAGTTTGAAACCAGCCTGAGCAAGAGCGAGACCCCGTCTCTACTAAAAATAGAAAGAAATTAATCGGACAACTAAAAATACATAGAAAAAAAATTAGCCGGGCATGGTGGCGCATGCCTGTAGTCCCAGCTACTCGGGAGGCTGAGGCAGGAGGATCGCTTGAGCCCAGGACTTTGAGGTTGCTGTGAGCTAGGATGATGCCACGGCACTCTAGCCCGGGCAACAGAGTGAGACTCTGTCTCAAAAAAAAAAAAAAAAATACAGGTAATAATAAAAGGCCACAACTCAATAGCAAACATTATATATTCATCTGAGAAACATTTTCCGACTAGTTCATCAAAAGATGTTAAGTTTAAAGCAGTGGTTTGGGGGCTTGGCTATACACTGTTATCACCTGGAGAAGTTTAAACAGTACTAATATCTGGGACCCACTCCAGGGATTTTTATTTTTATTTTTTTTTTACTTTAATGATCACTTTTTATTTTGTCATTTTCTTATCAGTCTCCCTTATACATGTGCTTGTAACATTTTGGCAGTGTAAATATTCACACAATTTTTTTTTGAGAGGGAGTTTCACTTTCTCACTCAGGCTGGAGTGTAGTGATATCATAGCTTACTGCAAACTCAAACTCCTGGGCTAATGCAATCCTCCTGCCTCAGCCTCCCAAGTAGCTGGGACTACAGGCATGTGCCACCATGCTTGGCTCTGTTTTCTGGATATTGTAGAGACAGGATCTTGTCTCAGGCTTCAGAAGTGCTAGGATTACAGGTGGAAGCCATTGCTCCTGACCAATTTTGTATTCTTTTATACATATATTTCACTTTTTATTTTTTAAAATTCTTTGGGCTTTACAGTTTGTTTATATTTAATATGTATATTTACTTTAATAGTTTTTTTTTATTCTTTATTCTTTTTTTTTTTTGAGACAGAGTCTCACTGTGTTGCCCGGGCTAGAGTGCCATGGCATCATCCTAGCTCACAGCAACCTCAAACTCCTGGGCTGAAGTGATCCTTCTGCCTCAGCCTTCCGAGTAGCTGGGACTACAGGCATGCGTCACCATGCCCGGCTAATTTTTTTTCTATGTATTTTCAGTTGTCCAATTAATTTCTTTCTATTTTTAGTAGAGACGGGGTCTCACTCTTGCTCAGGCTGGTTTCGAACTCCTGAGCTCAAACAATCCGCCCGCCCGCCTCAGCCTCCCAGAGAGCTAGGATTACAGGCGTGAGCCACTGCGCCCGGCCTCTTTATTCTTTTTTATTATATCAGAATATTACTGGGGTACAAATGCTTTGGTCACATAAATTGCCTTTGCACCGCCAGAGTCAAAGCTACAAGCATGCCCATCTCCCAGACAGCATGCATTGCAGTACCATGTAAAGCTGAAAAGGTGTAAGCAAGCGAACTCATGTAGCCAGGGGCTCTCACACTGGAGTGCAGCTCTGATGGCTCTGATTCCCCTGACCTTAGGGAGCTGAAGGGCCTGAATTCCTCTTTTCTGCCAGAGGTGAGGAAACACTCCCTCATGCTAACATCTCTCCTCAGGCCCAATGGTGGAAGAGCATGCCAAGACAGCAAGGGGCTTTAGTAATTCTCCACATATAGACCACTGCTGCCGACCTGCTTTCCAACCCCTTTTAGGGATCAGACAGTGAACAAAGGACATGAGGCTCCAGGAGGACAGAACTTCATGTCTTCAAATCTGTCCACAACCTTGACTTCTACAGTTCAGATGTGGAGGGAATAAATTAAAGGCAAATTTCTTATTTTGCAATTTGGCTTTGGCTCTAGTGGTCAGGCTGTGGTTGTCTGTTTCCTCCTGTGGTTGGGGGCTTGTGTGAATTTAAGCACCAATCACATGCATATATGTCCACGTGCATTTCTGTATAACTCAACACCATCCAACAAAAGATCGAACGTTAAATAAGAAGAAAAGAAAATCAGTACCTATAGGGTGTCTACTATTTGCCAAGTAAATAGTAATCAACCTGTCATTGAACACTAGCATCCTATCTGCACAAGGTGTATGAGTTAGCTAGCTATTACTTCATAAGAAACCACTCTAAAACTTTTTGGCTCATGATTGAGCTGGTCAGCCATTTAGGTTGGGCCATTCTTCTGTTCTGAGCTGGGCTCCTTCAGGTGCGTGTGGTCAGCTGCTGGTTGACTACGCAGCTCTGCTTCTGGGGGTGAGCTGGGTGTCAACTGGGGCACCTTGGTTCTTCTCCCTGTGGTATCTCATCCTCCAGCAGGGTAACCTGGACTTGTTCTCACAGAGATGGCAGGGTTCTGAAAGAAAAAGCAGAAGCAGTCAAGACTGCTCAAGCCTAGGCCCAAGTCTAGCACACTGTCATATTCACAGCTTTCTGTTGACCAGAGCGAATAAAATCATCCACATCCAAGGTTTGGGAAACAGATTCTGCCTCCACATGGGAGCAGCTATAAAAGTGCATTGCAAAGGGGACAGACACAGGAAGAGATGAAGAACTGCTACCATTTTTTTGTGCATATCATTATGCCTTTTCTTCCAGATGAAGTTTATATATAACTGTTCTAAGTGAAGGAACTTGTCCAAAGCCCCACAGCTACTAGGTGGCTGGGCTGGGACTCAGGATCAACTCTGCCTGACTTCAAAGCCCATGCATCTCTACAGACCACACTATTCATGCAGCTCCCCTAGGCCTCTAAGGGTCTGGAGAATGACTCTTGTGCAGTAGAAGCAAGATTCCTTTGAGATTCTCATTTATCTAGTACTCTTCACCATTGAGAACAATCCCTCGAGGAATGCTTCTGAAACAACTTGGAAGGACTTGGATAATTTGGGAAATGGCTGAGGTTCAGTTTAGAAAATCAAGGCACAACATCATTATTTTTTATTTCTCATTATAGGAGAAATTTGAAAGCATATATAATGTACACCACATGTTGGTGAATTCTTTTCATCCCTTTTTGGTATTCATTGGCAATTTATAATTCTCACCAAAGTCTAGATTAAACTACTGTGACTTAAACAACCTCTTAATCTGAAAGCAAATGACATAAACATAGATCTGCTGAGAAGCCATTTTCTCCTGCCGCAATTCAGCCAAACAGCTGAGGATGTCTTGAAGTTGTCCTTTGAATTTTAACAAGACAAAGCTGTTTTCCAGGACTGCAAACACATCATATGAGTGCCAAAGCTACTAAGTTGTCTCAAAAGGTCAACCAGATAGATGGAAGGTCTGGGTGTGGAGTGTTGAGAGAGCCCCCACCAGCAGGGTCCATAGGTGATATTCATTGGTCAAGTGGGGTGTTGTGCGTCCTGATGTTTATGACAGAAGTGACATGTATATTACTGAAAGTAAATTATAGCACATCACGAATAAAACTATAAACGAATCAACAATTTCAATTACTGTTATTTATCATTATTGTAAGTATTATCATCATTACCAATATTGGAAGTAGTTGTAGTTGTTACCGACGATCCTGTTTTTATTGCTGTTTTACGAATATAGATAAGAACACCAAGTAAAAGCTCTGCCTCCTCCTGCTGCTGCTACTGGTGCTGGGTTGCTAGTTCGGTGCAGACTGCAGACCTCTTTTGTGAAGTTGCAGCTGAAGAGACTTCAGGCTCCGCTGAGGCCGAGGAAGAGCCTGAGGCAAGACTGAGAGCAGTGGAATGAGGGGAGGTTTTCAAGGAGATGCCCAAGGGAGAAATAGAGCCTGGCAGCTTCCTTCAAATCCAGTGAAAGAGGAAGGAGCCCTCACCCTCATCTGGCAGCCGGCCGGGGCGAGGGGACGTTAGGCGGAGGGCGGGGAGGGTCTCCCAGAGGGAAGGGCCGGGGAGGCCGGAGTCAACCGGGGAGAAGGGAAGGAGGAGGCTTCCATCTAACTCCTTGGTGAAAGCAGCAGCAGGTGGCGGTCTGGAAACCCCCTAGGACGTTTGGAGGGAAAAGAGGTAAAGAGGAAGATGGTGGAGAGGGGGTAGGTGCAACTCGGTGTGGACAGGGCACAGCGGGAGGGAGGAGGGGACAGGGGACAGAGGGAAGGGCGCGCGCTGGGGCAGAGGACCCGGAACCTGGGCGGGGACGCGTGGTGCGCGGGGTCGGCTTTTCAGGACAGGGGCATGGCAGCGGGTCGAGTGCCTAAGGAGTGGCACTTCTCAAATGTGCAGCCAGAGGCAAGACGGCAGCCTGGCGCCAGCACCTCTGTCCAGCCCCGGGTCCCGCCCGTCCCACACCAGCCCGCCCCGGCCGGTGTAGCCACACCAAGCCGGTCCAAGGAGGCACCAAGTGATCAAATCCCGGCTCTCGGGACTTATCGTCCCCTTCGGGGTGACTGAATGTGAATGCCAGGGCTCCTTTCCGGGGCCATCTGTTCTTGGGGAGCCACAGCGCCGGCCGGGTCAGCAGTCGGCGGGGCGGGCACACGCGGGCGGCGGCTGCTCCAGGGCGCAGCCGGCTGGGACAGCCCTGCTAGTGAGCGGGGGTGCGACCCGCCTCGGCCTCCCTTACCCGAGGGTTTGAGGTGGGGTCTGCTCTCCTCTGTCCCAAGCCCCTCCCAAGGGTCCACGGGGAGAGGCGGCAGAGAGAAGCGGAGCACCCTCTCCCGGGACAAGTTCCCGGCCAGGAGGGCTTTGGCGGGCAGTGCGGGGCGTGGCCTGGGTGGGGTCTCGAAAGTGGCAGGGGCGTAGGACGGAGGCTGAGGGGTCTCTAAAGGACTCAGTGGTGATGGCACAGACAGACAGAGCTCAGCCATGAGCTGTCTGCACCTTACACTGGAGGGCAAGGGGCGCACCAGCGGAGATGACATCGGGCCCCCTGGGACCCAGGGCCAGGGTGAGTGAGAGTCGGGGACCCCTACAGCCTTCAGGGGGAAACTCAAGGCTCCCATATCCCCAGACTTTTATTCTGAGCCCCCGAGAGAAAGTCCGAGCTCCCTGGAAGCTATCTGAAGGACTAGATTATCTTGATTTTATTTGAAGGGTGGCGAGTACCTTAACTGCAGAGAACTCCTGGAGAGCTGGGAAGAGAAGGAGGGACAGATGCCCAAGGGAGCCTCTAGTGGGATGAGCCTCATGTTTGGGCATTTCTGGGAGAGATCAAGTGCCCGTCCAGGAGGACCTGCAGCCTTGCTCCCTCCCTGCCAGCCCACACAAGGGCAAGGGGGCTTAGAGCGTAGAAACTCACCTAGGGCAGTTAGCAGGCCCACGAGGTCCAGGGAAACCAGCTGCTGGCCACACTCAGCCTCTCTGCAAATGGATGCCTGGGAGAGGCAACAGAAAAGGAGAGCGTCCAATCTACACCTTCCCTTGAGGGATTAAAGGACCAACCAGGGACAGAAGCAAGGAATAGGGGACCTTTTTGTCCTAGCTCTGAGGGCCATGTCCCCTGCAAACAGATGACAATATTTGCTCCTCTGCAGGCAGTAAAGGTTTTGGAAAGGCAGTCCCTGTGCTACTCTCCAGAGAGATGGCCACAGAACCAGATGCATGCCACCAGAGGCTTGTAACCACAAAATGCACTTATTCTCCTGGATACGAATGATACAGTCCAGCAGCAGACAGGAGTGTGTGCTAAGAACAGACCTGCTATTTTTTCCAACTCTGCTCTTACAGACCAAGCAGACATTCTCAAGTGCAAAACCCCAATATGGTTCCACCAGGTTCTGATGGTACAGGATCCTTTATTCTTTCCCCTTCCCCCTCCCCATTCCTTTATTGTGCATAAAGTATCTGGTGTACATCCACAAGCATATTGCTAAATGACAGTGGTCTGTGTTGATGGGCATCCAGTGGAGATGGGGAGAGATATTGGTTCTGTGAAGAGACTCCCTTTCTCCACCAGCGGCTGCTCCCTCAGCTCTTATCTTTATATCGCATAACTTAATTTTAGCAACACCACCAAGAAATACAACAATCCTTGCATACATTGTTCAGTTAGAGAATGTTAATGATTTTTGTATATCATCATGAAGCCAAGGACAATTTCATAAGTTTTTTGTTACACATAGGGCAAATCTGCCTTTACACAGGGGTAAATGATACTTAAAAAAACAATAAATATTAGATACTTTCCCTTTCAAATCAAGCATCTGATTATTTAAATACACATCTTTTATAGACAAAAAAACTAAATATAAATATAAAAATAAAAACATGGGGTGAAGTTTCTCTTGCCTCCAAGAGTATTGGTTGGACCAAAAATGAAGAAGGAGAGGTTTCCGACTGCAGAACATTCGAAACTCTCCGGGGACCCCAGGAACAACCAGCACCTTCCAAGGGCTCTCCCCGTCCTGCCCCTTCTGCACCAGAAAGTGCCCTCATAAGATTTTCAAGTCCTGGCCCAGGAGGTGTATGGAGGGAGAGAGGTTGTATGTCTCAAACCCAGACCAACATGCTGGCCCTGGACCCTCTACAAGAATATTCTAAGGGTCCCCTTTGGCTTCCAGGGTTGAGCCCTTTCAGAAAAATAATATGGGTAAATTGTTCTTCAGGGTCAATCCATGGGGGATAGCAGATGACATGGCATCGTGGACAGAGGGCAACCATCGAATGCAACTTCAAAGTACAGTGAAGCTGTGTCAGATGACAGAGGTAGAGCCTGAGACATCTTCCTTCATGCTTTGAAAGAAAGGAGAACAAACTAGAAGGGTGAGGCTCACCTGTTCTTGACTATTGTCAGGGTCACTTGAGAAGTGCAGGAGGTCAGAAAAGGGCTGTGTTGCAAAACAAGCTGGAGGGAGTGACTGGGGGGACTATAAGTGAAACCTACGAAGTAATGTGGTTCCACTTCATGGAAACACAGGACATATTTTCTTTTTTCTTTTTTTTTTGAGACAGAGTCTCGCTTTTGTTGCCTGGGCTAGAGTGAGTGAGTGAGTGCCGTGGAGTCAGCCTAGCTCACAGCAACCTCACACTCCTGGGCTCAAGCGATCCTTCTGCCTCAGCCATCAGAGTAGCTGGGACTACAGGCATGCGCCACATGCCCGGCTAATTTTTTCTATATATATTTTTAGTTGTCCGATTAATTTCTTTCTATTTTT